AAACACTCCTAACAAATAATGGGATTCTATAAAATGGTCGCTTGACAGAGGTGCACGTCGGTGGGCCTTAATCACCTATTGCCTATTAGAAAACCGCGAATCGGTACTTTTTTCTTTGCTCAAAGTTGTTTTGTGGTCAGAGTTGCAGGTCTCAAAGGATCAAAGTGAAAAAGCACCACCGATTCGTTGTTTCCTGGTAGATTTTACGATAAGATAATAATAATAATTATAATCTGGAATACTTCGGTCTATTCGCTTAACCAGCAGAGGTCCCAGTATTGAAATCCTCATGGATCGCCAGATTTTATGGGCCCAGTTGTGCTAGGCAGAAACCAGATTTGATGCATTATTTGTGTTCTTTTGAAGCAATGCATGTTCGATATGCAAGTGCAAGCCAAAATGTATTATTAGTGTGATTGGTTGACAAATAGGCCATAATATCTGTCAGACAAGGTCAAGATCACTCAATTTACAAATAAAGTGGTATACGTGAAGAGTAATTGGGATGAAGCATTTGTTTTTAAACAAATAAGAGTAATTGACCTATTGGCCTTCTACTACTAGTCAGTGTGTTAACAGTTGTGCCTAGTCTGCACTCTCCCTTGGTACCCATTTGAGGTCACTTTCTACTCTCTCTACCTATTGGACATTTGGGATAAGAATTCATGAGGTTAATGCACAAAATTTTATTTAACATGCCTCGAGGATGAAGACTACTTGAACTTGAATAATAAACTAATATAAACCTGCCATACTCTGTATTTAATGAACTCGGTAGGAAACAGTTATGCATTATATTTTTGCTTCGCCACAGGAATCCAGTTGTTCAGGTTGCTGGTCATACTTTCCAAAATTCTGTCTTTTATGGTGAATCATCGCATGAAGTTCTGTTGCAATATCACTCTGCGAAACGTTTCGTTGGAGAAGTTAGTATTCTTCACGACAAATAGTTAATTATCCAGAGTTTTCTGGCCGTTTTATATACCATATTCTGTTCACACGATCATGATCTTGCTAACGTTTACAATAAGTACCAGGTGAGTGAAAGAATCTGTGTTGAATAGTTCCAAACATAACAATACTTAATTAAGAGAATTTAACCAACCATTTACATTTATAAAAGTTTGTGTAACTCATTAAAAGTACATAATTGATAGCAAAAACATTTATAAGTATATGTGTAAACATACACTTCTGAACCATAGTAAGGTAATGGTTGAAGGTACCTGCCGTTAGAACAGTAACTTGACGATAAAAACAAAAGTGACTGCCTCAAATGCATCCGCATTTAGAGCTATGAAATGCACTAAAAATAAGCCCGTTGGTTACTTAACAGGCGTGTTTGCGCCGCTGGGTAGTAGGGTTTTGCATTCATTCGCTCGCCATTTGCACACTATCTAAAAAAGTGTGCATGTTTTTTACTAGGTGTCTCCTCTTGCTGATGGGTTTGTCGCTGAGCAAAGTTAGGTGTGATCGTCTTCTCAGTTCTTGTGCGCCAGCTATACTTCCTGTCTCTAGCCTCTAAGTCCACAAGCTTATCGTCAGATATCTCCTCACTCTCACAGCGTTCACGAAACATCTTCTTCTTGCTGCTCGTGGCCTCTCGCTTTCTTTGTGCTGCATCTTCAAACGACAAATCTAGTTTCATGTGGTCAATCAAGGCGGTGTTATGGCAATCCACGCGAACATTCTTTCTTGTCGACTGTGCACTGTGGCCTCTGCGTGAATTAGTGCAACCAGCTGAGAGTTCATCATTTCCTCCTTTTTCCTTCGATTCTTGTCTCCCTCTTTGGATCCGGTGTTCTTGTTGGTCTTGAAGCAAACAACTTGGATGGGAATTTGACCTAGATGGTGATGGTCGGTGGTAAAGCGGCTCCATATATGTGTGCCACCAGGCAGGATCTACTAGTTGGTCTGGGCGTTCTGGTCGATAAGGAATCTTGTTGGTTGGGAGGAGACGTTGCTTTACAAAAAAGTTCATCATCTAAAGCGTTCAATTTTCAGAAGATTAATAGAATGTCACATTGAAAAAAAGTTAGTGTAAGTTCTGCTCTGGCACACACATAATTGAAAATACGGGCTAGAAAGCAAAAATTCCATCTTCCCTTTCTTGAACTATATAAAATCAACTATTCAAAAAGGCCTTACAAAGCTGCTCAGCAATTATTAGCATTAAATAGTTGAGTTCAAATGAAAATTCTTCCAAGCATACAAAGAAATCTTCCCTCAACACCAATTGGGCTTTTGTTCAAAAACCTTAATCAAGTGGCTTTTTAATGATCAAATGTATCAAAAATAGCGAAAAGATGTTCAAATGATACAGTTTTTAAATTGTCTCCAGAAACATCCACCAAAACAATCAAAGCCTCCGATATTAAAAGAGGACAGAATCCCTCTGTGGGGTTTCATCTACCGCATTTCCTGTTAAGCGTTCTATCCTCAATTCCACAGGGAGAGATATCGCTTGCGTTTTCAATTCTTGCCGTAAACTTGTGTCGGACCACCAAGGCATTAGAATTAAAATTCTTCCTGCCACCATACGTGAGTAAAATTAAGGTGTATAAACTTGGGGATTTGTGTGCATTTTGGTTGTTTCAGTCACTGTCATTAGAGTTCGTCAGCCAGCGCCAACTCCGGCTTTTCAGCTGCGGGGCCAAGGCTGTCAAAACATTTTAGCCTTTCACACACTTGAGACTTACAAGTTCCAGTTCTAGCCGACGGACTTTTACCAAGGAAACATCGTGTCCATATTTCAATGACTTAATTGTCCTTACTCTCTACTTTTCGGAATTCAAGCCTCGATTTCGTTTATCTTCCTGTTAACAATGTTTAAGTAATGGTCAACTATGTTTCGTTAAAATGCAAAAACGCCAGATTTGAGCATCTTACAGCAATTCTAGGTGTGCCACTCGTGCCTCCAATAAAACCTTCATTACCTTGTGATGATAGCAAGATAGTTCATATATGAAAATTTCGAATAAGAAGAAGCAAGCTGGCATTTAAAACTTTACAAAAACTGCTATTTTTGAAAACGTTTCAAGAAAAACCCAAAATTCATTACGCCTTTCTTGCTAAACGCATGCGAAGTTTATCTTTACTCCAAGTATTAACTATCAATAGACATATTTTTCGTCACGAATGAACACAATTTAGATCTCATTGAATTCCTTTACCTTCATCATCCCACAATTTAAGTGTAAAATCTTTCCCCCATTGGAGTCAACAAATTCGTCACAGTGGACCTCTGTCAAGTCAACTTGACTACTAATTATAGTTAGTGAGGCACCCAGGTCTTTAAAACCCACGGAGACTGGTACTTTCTGTGCATAACTTACCAGTTGCTTTTAATGTTTCATGGCTACCTGCCGCACCCTTTCGAAGTCAAAAGTTTTACTGTACGTTTGGAATTTCAAATTAAAGTTAGAGTCTCATTTGCACAAATCTGTGCTATCTCACCTTCGTCGATTATAATATTTTCTTTACTTGCTTAAAGCACCATTCCATTATTTGAACCCCAAAAATGTAATCAATAATCACCAAGACGTTTATTTGCTTGTCAAAAATGCACCCAAAATATATCTGATTTCTACGAATTCTGCCTACTGATTTCTTAAACCACGAATTTCAGTAAAGTGATTTAAGTATTTATTTCATTAAAAGAGATCAAGGCCATTTAAAAGGGTGGTGCAACTGAGATAATTGTCACTCGAATGGGAGTCGAATACCACTTTTTCTAATTCATTCGTTACGAAATCACAGACGTTCGTTATTAACTATTTCTGGCATTTCCATTAATTTAAAATTTCTTAAAATTTTACATATTTGGATAAAAGTTAAAACGTCACTAGTTATTCAACAAATTGCTTAGTGATGACATTTTTCGCAGTTTTTGCCCTTTTTAACGTGCAAGCATCTGCTCATTAATCTCCTCATACTCGCGTGTGGGCTAACACGGGAATCGGACTTTAGACTGAGTGGCAATACCTGCTCTGGAAGTTCTGCCAGAACCTCTTTCGTGAGTCCAAGTTTGTTCCAGCGGATTTCCTCGGAGCCATCCGCTGCTAGTCGAAGAAAACGCCGCATTTCTACAAACTGAATTCAAAAAAAAATGCTAGAAGTAACTGCGTTTTGGCGTCGTGCATTTGTCAGTCAATTCTGCATTATTATCTAACTGTGCTTATTTCGACAAGGTTTAAACGTTCATTTTATACCAGTAACGCCTTATCGCTAATCCTGCTGGATAAGTACTCAACAATCTGTGCTCTTTTCAAAGCAGTTTTACGTCTCCTTCTTGAGCAAAGTCTGATTTTACACATATTTTACACGATGACTACGTTTCATGCCATCAAGTGACTTATTGTGTTCATTATTTAATGATACTCCATTACCAGTCCACAAAGTGTTTATGAATTTTTTTGCATTCTGGATGGGGCAATGAGTGCTCGGCATCTTTTGACTTGACGCGGATCCCAAAACTATATACCACTTCACTTGACTGTTTTCTGGATCGTATTGTGTAAAATCTTAACCAGCCCGCTGTGTAACCAAGTAGAAGTTTCTAGTCATTGTTGTCCCGAATTCAACAATTAATAATTGTCTGTGTATTTAGTCCACGACCACGCTATAGCAAAATTCAACTGTCCTTCACGTAATGATGCAGATTTTACAACAAGGGGCCATTAAAATGACATTAGCAGAGTGCATTAATTACACATATTCTGGAGTTAAAATTGAATATGAATTGTGGAAAAGTATTAGATGAAATTTGTAAGCGCCTGCCCTACATTAACCTTCCTCCCAGGTGAGTATAAATCCAGGTAACGAGTTAATTATGGCCACGATGATTCAGGTTGCGTCCATAGACTTCGAGCTCAAAAGTAGGTTTTAAGTTAGTAAAAAATCTAGATTATAGGTTGACCCTTAGAAAGCTGAAATAATGAATACTCGTGCATATCATGCATGTTTCCAGATTCCAATATATTATCACGAAATGTAATGAAGCATGTAGAGTAGCGAGATCTAGAAATTCAGAACACAAATGTAAGGTTGGTTGGCAAAGGTTAAGCCATTTTCTCTATACTATGTCGGTAAATCTATCTAGAAGGGTATATGACGTCGGTTTTCATTAACGGAAATGTTGAACTGAGCATAAACCACAGAATTCAACAAAAAAGATATAATTATCGTGCACCAGAAGGGATAACGGGATCTACCTGGTTCTAAGAGTGTTATTGAGGTGGATTACGTCTTGGATTAATGAACTAGTCAGTAAGATGAATTGAACACTTTTAAAACTGCGTTAAAAATTTATATATGCATGATCTTAAAATACTACAAACGGCCTTGGAATGCATCCTTATAGTCATTCCTTCCTAAATTATGGTCGACAAAGGAAACGCCCAGGGACTACTTTTGATTGTCATACCATGCAGTGTAAATGGTTGTTATCGTAGTTTGCTGTTCTTTATCTTTTTGAAGTGGTTTCACTTTGAACCATGACCTAAGGTTGGTAATTTCCTTGCGTGGAGAGCCAATTAAAATACATATTATGAAAAGATTGCCTTGTTTACCAGGGTTGTAAGTACATTAAGCATTTACAATAAGAGCTATTCATGCACCTTAGGTGTACAGATATTTAAATGTTTACGACGCTGATTGTTTTAACGCTTATTCATTATACATGGCTGACTCATACCAATAAGACATTAATTTCTAACTACAATACGACATAATCGCCTGAGAGGGAGCAAGAGAAGAATGTGGAGACAAGGAAGAAAAGACGTTTATTGAACCACCACCATCGTTGCAGATTTTAGAAAAAAATTATTTTACAGTTTACATTACATTTTAATTTTTGTTTAAATAAAGCACCTTTTACTGTACACGGAAACGTTGTTTTTAGAGTGTCGATCTGATTGCAAAAAAATCCTCAGAGGATTATAAATTTCTAAAAATTACTGTTTGGCCTGGCTTATCGTTCGACCAGACCTTGCCGATCTTGTAATCATTAGGACTGGAATTTTTCTAAGTGATGCATATTGAAACTGTTTAAAATGTTGTAAAAACTGTAAAATAAAGTGTCCGATCATCTGCAATGTTAGATGGACAGGCTTAAGAGTAGAGGACAGTGTCAACTGCAGCAACGTTTGATTGGGGAAGGCCAGCCATCCTGTCCGGATTGCAATTATACACCCTCGGCTATGCGTTTGTGGATATTAATAGGGGTTTTGTAGGCAAAGCAGAAGAAATAGTAAGCCCGAAGTTTTATATAATCAGTTATAAATACATTATTGGTTAAGCTGCTCTCGCAATGCATCTGGAATTTTTACGGCTGAGTGAATGTTCACGTCTACAGTGATACCGCGTTTGAAATAGCATGCTACTTTATTTACTAGAAAGAGCAAACACCTAAAAATCTTTGAAAATTGTGTTTGTATTAATTTAAGCTTTTGTTGAAGTTGGTTTTATGCAGACTCACCATTGATGTGCCTACAGAGTAGCTGGTTGAAATGTCCCAACTAACGCAACTCAGAATGATGCTAATTATCGTTTGGGATAATGGAGTTATGTGCTGTACACTTCTCGATACGAATGTACCCCACAGCAGTGAGTAGCATGTGTGAGTTTAGCACGAAATAAATTTTGTTTATGCAAACGTGTTCTGAAATGTTTCTATTATGTACCCCATCAAAGTTGAAACCTGTGTGCGAACACGCTCCAAAATTTCACGATTTTGGGTGCCGTAAAAAATTTGGCTCTCTTAAATTAAGGAGGTTACAATTTGAATCCCTGTAGTCTGTTCATTAGAGTTTTAATCTTACAATAGACTTAATATACATTTAATTACAAAATTGAATTTCAATGAGCCTATGATTAATTCGGCAAGAGTTGTAGAAATGACAGACAATTTTAATTTAGACAGATTTAATGCATCTGTTTCGGTCCAAATCCCGACTTTCTTTGCAATTAGATGAAAGGTTTGCCCAAATAAGCAGAAAGCGAAGTAAAACGTAGAATAGCCCGTAGGTAAAAGTGGCAAAATTATTTAAGTTAACTCAGAAGGCTACTGTGAAGACCGATAAAATGCTTGACAAAATTTGAAAGTAAGAAGGCCAGTTCTTAAAGCGGCAAGCACCACTTTCTTACTTTCCGAAATTGGGATTTCTTAGCTAAACAAAATGCATTACAAATTTCGAGACGCACAAGTGGTTGTACCGCTCTCAGCCACATTACAATTGTCATAATCCCATTTTAATGACATGCAGCTAGGACATAAAAATCAGCATGAATTTTATACTTTAGTCTCTAAATACAAACTACGATGTCAGTTTGGTCGAAAGCTATTAGTAAATCAATTTTCAAAAAAGTATTTTTTTAAGTAACTTTAGCAAGTACTTACAGATCATTATGCAGCCTGCAGTTTAATAAATCAGTTGGATCAAAATGACACGCACACTGCAAGTTGTAAGTAGAAATTCTAATTTTGTCACATTCTATGCTCAGCGGTTGCGAACTTCAAAACCGATACCTTCGCCTTGCCTATTAATACAGACATGCCAACTATAACGCATGCAGCTTCCATGCGGAAAGCTTTTTTCAACTTTTAAATTAAAGAAAAGCACGCTAGTGAGATTATAGTGAACCAAGGTTGTAGTGACTAGAAATTTAGCCCTACCTTACAACCCTCTAGTTAACAGCCCGTAGCTACCCGAGGATAGGAAAAAGGAGGCGACAGAGAACACGACCGTTTATTGGAGTCGAACCAGCCAAGTGGCTTTGTGTGCGTATGAGCACGCGTGCGTAACAGCCGAATGCTGACAAAAATCAATAACAAAAGGGGATGAGTCATCGCTACACACGGGCCTTCGTGCACGCACACTCGCGCGGGGCGGCTGTCAGTCCACTACAAGGTTATTCGACGTTTTCATTGACTCGTCCTCCAACCTCAAAAAGTTTATAGACTTGAAGGGAAGCCCAAAGTAATCTACGCAAATTTTTTAGTCCTAAAACATCCAATGACTGAATATGTGGTTCAGTCAATGGGAAAATGGTGATAATCGTCTCGATTTGAAAGAATGTCTTTTTCATCTTGAGACTTTAGAGGACCCACAGGTGGATTATAAAATGACTTCGTTCAGACTCAAAAAAAAATTCCAATCCTTTTTACTTGTTATTGAAACTCCTGGGAAATCGGAGTTGTTATCCATGCTACAGGTAAGATCTACGGTTTTACCACGCGTCAAGTCAACTGCATTTAAGGAAATTAAATATGGGTGTGCACCAAAACAAGTGGTCTAGAAGAGATGTCTCGGGATAAAATGCAAATTTACATTGCAGATGTGTGCATTTCTTAGTCTGCTCAGTCGGAAAACGCGTCCTTAGAGAGGCAATAAAATAGAATGCCTTTCTAATTAAAGGGAAGACAACCGAAGAGAGGGCAAGTAATTACAGCAAAATTAGAAATACGCAATATACCCTTCCCATTAAATAGAGACATCACAAGAAATGGACATATTTTATTCCATTTTTAATCAGTTAGAAATGTCAAGGTACCTACATACGTGCAAAAGTCCCAAAATTCATACCTTTTAGTTGGCTAGAAGATAAAGTTACTATTCAAATCTCTATTTCCCTACCGTAGCTAATCATTCCTTTATACCAATTCCCACTATCGTTAGTGTCAATAATTCCTACTCCAGTTAGTTTGGCCATATTAGCAGTTCCCAAAATGAATCGGAGACTATAAAAAATCACCCCTTTCCATCATAATGGGATGCTTGGTATCAGGTATGGAGCCAAACTTTTCAGCGATTTATTTATTTGTCTAGTTCACAATATGTGAATAGAAACTACATTTATTTTCATAAAAAGGAATTAGGGAATTAACTAATAAATATTAAAAATGGTGTGCAAATTCCTCGTGAATTGTAGAGATTCGGTCATTTTTGCACTGTGATGACGCAGAATAAACTATGCAAGCCTACTTCTTGTGACAGCGCAAATTAGGAATTTTCCAATTTGTATTACCAAACAGGACAATGTCAGGCTGTTGAAAACGAAAGCCTCTAGAACTTTAAAGTGCAATTATGCGGTCAGACTTCCTTTGTCGGTATGATGTTTGGCACCAAAATGGAATTTAAGAAGTTTTGACAGAAGAAATCCAACAGCACGGAATTTTCCCTTTGTTAAACGGTATGAATTGCGTGACCTCTTTCGGCTTCCCTATGCATCCGGTCGAACCCATGAGAACCTCTTTTAATTTAAAATATCGCATTCATGCTAACACTCATGTTTGGAGATAAATACCTGCTTTCCACTGTGCCGAGGAATCGCCCAAGCAAAAGTTACATAAGCTGTGTATGCACAAATCTCGTTTGGAACAACTACGGATTTCTCGTTAGACACGAAATTAAAGGAACGTACTTGGACGTTGTCCCGACAGGCTTCTTCTTGACCAACCTTGAGCAGTGCAAAATCTTGGTCCAGAACATGTAGATCTAGAATAAATCAAATTAGGCAGATGAAGTCGCATTAGTTTTCTTGTAGGCCTTGACCTTCGTGCATTTTGTCGCGGGGCACTTAGTCACCTTAATTGCTCTGGCTTGAAACCATTAATTTTAACCGTAACTCTCGAGGTGGATTAATTTGTGACGTTTTGGATCATTTCTATACATTTTTACACACTGCGTGGCAAAACGTTTCACCAACCCAAGTTGCATAGTCTCCTTATTGCTAGTCATAAATACGAAAGTAAGCTGTTTACAGTAATGTATAGTGAACGAATATGACACAGGGCACCATGACAACATCGTAACATCAATATTTGAGAAGAAGGGGGGCAAAACTTTGAGTCGGTTATTTCATGACATGAGTACAACATCTCAATGTTTTAGGATCTGGGTTTTAGTGATAGCCGCTTACAATTCGCTCAGCGCTGAATGAAGTTTATAGTGTATGAGGCGGATTTAACGTATATTTTGTCGAAAGATCCAATTCCTTTCTTTGGAGATTTGGCGCGTCCTTCCGTCTTAATAACAAAACTGTTTTGAAGGTCTATTGTATACAATGAGTGCAAACACTTCTAGTGACATTGTTCTAATTGACAGTTGGAATTTTTTCAGAGGTTTTATTTAAATTAGAGAAACTAGTTTTGGACGCTTACTGTAATAAAATAAAAAAGTCCCAATGCAAAATTCCGTACGATTCAAAAAATGATTATTCAGTATCTTGAAATTGTGCATAGGTGTTACGGTGAGACTGACGCTAATTTTATTTGCATAAAAAGCGACACTCGCTTGTATCAAATCTATTAGATTTGACTTCTAACTTGGGTTGCCGATGATTAAATTCCGAATACTCAACTTTTGAGGTTGTTTAAAAAGTTTCCTGGAAATTTAAACGCGTCATAAGGCGCCATAACGAATGGCACGCAGGGAACTTGTTATCAGTTGTATCGAAATTGGCGCGGCTCTATAACATTAACCTCATCTGCACTAAATCAGCTGCGTATGTGGGAATTTACAAAGCATCCAGGCGGATAAGTCAAGCTTAACGCAATTCGACATTGCTTAAGTTCACTATACAATGCTATAAAGTTATGGATGTGCTAGTTACTAGTCTTGATGTGCGTGACAGAGATGGCAGCTATGTCAGCGGACTTGATTCTTAATTTACGTGATTAAGACACGTCTGAGATCTCAAAAAAGGAAACCTACGGTAGTTTTTAGTCAAGGAACTGGTACAATAGATAGTTTAATTAGGATAATCAAGACGAATATTACTATTCCAAAAATGTGTTAAGACAACAAATCACATAAACATAAGATTGCGAAAAAATGTTAGAAATGATTACCTTCAAAGTTTCCACCACCAACGCCAATAAAAATTATGGACACAGGAAGAAACGAAGCCTGTAACGAAAGACAGTATTATTTAAAGACATTTGAAAATTTGGATGAATAGGATCTTTTAGGAAAGCGGTCTGAGCATTTTACTTAAAATGTATGCCGCTGCGACAGCGTTTGGATAATCTTGACCGTAATGGCAACCAGGAAAATATATTTAAATGCCTCAAACAAGATTTCCCAATGCGATATAGAAAAGGTTCAATCTGTTTAATGAACAGTTGGCACTCAGTCACTAAAATGAATTAATATTTGACAATACGTTGTGGTCCTTAATTTGGTTTTGCATCGCACCTACTAAGAGAACTTTATTAAGGCCCGCGTCACAAACGTTTTGAAATTTTTAATTGATTGCAGTTGGTTCCTTCCACGCTGATTACTTTTAAAACTTTCCTTCTTACAAAGGATCTTGTTATCCGTTTTTGTAACCACGGTACTTAAAATTTACGAAGAGGGCGTCATAGTTAATCATACTTGACAGTCTGTTTTACTTTCAAAAATTTCAAGTGTTTTTTGATGCGAAACATGGTTGTCATAAGACTTAGAGTCATGAATGAAATTTCTTTTAGACGTTTTTATTAATATTACAATTAATCATGCACGTCGGTAACATGACACATAAAAGTTCATCGTCTTTTGCGGCCGAAATGAAGTTTTTTTGACCAACACGGTTATTCTCTGTAACTTGTTAGTAAAACAGTTAGACATTATGGTAGTGAAAATCTGGTCCTTTTAAACAGAAAGGAATGTTTCTATTTGTTTATCCAGGAGGCTACACCATAATATAGTTGATGAAAGTCTCCCCTGTTTCTATAATTCTGTGTTCCCTTAATTTTAATACCCACTTGTTGTCACAAGAAGCGAAATCACGTATTAGATATACGACCCCAATTAAGCCTATTGCATTTCGGAACTATGTGCCACCAAGAGAATAAATTGTGCAAGTCGTTATTGTCATACATCCTTACTTGACGCAGTACAAACGAAATAAAGTCAATTCATGGTATATTAATTCAATACAGAAACAATGAAAACGTAAAAAGACAAGTCTTGTCAACGTTTCAACAGTGTGTGTATTCTAAGATCGGGATTTTGATTTGGTTGTTTCCAGGTGGCAGTTGCGATATTGAAGGGATACGTTTACATAAGTGCCTTTTTTGTTTCGTTGCTTTGTACATCAAAATTGTTTGAACCACTAAATTCAAGTCCTAAGTCGTGTGGAAACAAACAAACAATTGGGTTAATTCGTTTTGGTAAATGAGCCTTGTTATTAGGTGTCGAATTATTTGTTAATAGTAACAAATGAGGTGATATAATTCAGTGCAACAGCAGATGAATTATGTTGAATCTAATGTGCCATTTAGTTGTGGCTCACTTCCTTACCACAGAATTCTTTTTTTTAAATTGCAAATAGAATATACAGATGAGTTGAAACCTTTAATGTGACGGGCTAAGATAAAACCGCTTCGAAAGCTAAGCTTAAAGGGCGCCAAAGTTTGATGTTTTGAAGGGTTGAAGGTATTCTTAAAGTGGAAGCCAGTCAGTCATACGTCGTTACTCTGCACGCTCACTTTTAAGAATATTATTGCGAGGGGATTTATCCCCATACCATAAACTGATACTGATCACCAAAAAGCGGTTTAAATGACTAACATTTCAAGAAAACGTGACTACGGAAATAAAAACAAAAAAATAAACAGAATACTTTGAGGGAAGACCTAAGACTGTAGAAATTTAAAGGAACATTTCGGCTTTAATTACAAACACAAATGGTCCTTCTATGAGGTCAGAAAATACGCACATCCTGGCATTCAACAATCGATAAAATGTGTCACCCTTTGTAATATGGAAAGAAGGAAAGAACTCAAATTAATAGAATAAATACTGATGGTTTTGGCACTCTTTAGGCAAGCTAGGCTCTCTGATAAAGTAATAGCTTAGATAATATTCATTTGACTTAATTACTAAATCTTTGGTTCTAGTTCGCGAGGTAGAGTTTAGGTACAATTTTGCCTCGACCAAAATTTTGCTTAGCGAAGTGGTTGCAGTAAGTGCATTAAAAAACACCGAAGTAAAAAGTTAAGTTAAAGCCGGAACGTGCTATGCTAAAGAAGAGGAGACATGAATTGCGTTAATTTAGAAACGTGTGTGGATAAACATACAGAAACTTCTGACAACGTTGTCTGTCGTGGCATGTAAATTATTTTTTTATTAATTTGGGCCCTTGATTTACTTTGCATCATGTATCATCTGATCGGCTACTCAGAATTAATTGCAGGAAAGACCTAATGCAAAATGTTTATCTTGTGAATAAATTTGGCTCCTTGCAACTATTGTCTGGTTAATATCCATTGAAACGGCATCCTGGTGGAAAAAAAGCGAAAAATAAAGGAAGATGTAAACACCGCCACTGCGTCTTTCCCGCTTACGCCTAGAATAAACACAGTTGAATTTGGGCGGTTTTACTTCAAAGAAGGTTTTCTTACTTAGATGTGGCATAAGAAATGTTACGTTAATTTACTTACAGCTTTCGGCAGAACGTACCTCAATTACGGCTCTCTGCGTATCAACCCAATCTTCGACGAATCCAGTAGTAAGAATAAGAAGAACAAAGTATTTAGAGCTATCACGAAAATGTTTCGCCATTCTAAAAGCCAAGATAAAGAAAACATTACACTTTGAGGTGCAACACTTGTTTATTAGGGCTGGAAATATTATAAACTACACTAACAGGATTCATTTGTAATCAAACTACACCAACAAAGTATGAGAGCATTAAGAATAAACGTTATATATTTTGCCGCTATCGCTAGTTGAAGGACAACAATTGTGCAAATTACTGGATCCAAACGATATCCGCTAACGCGATTCGCAGAACCTGTGTAATACTGCCGAATGTTTTTGGGGTATAGGATTGTTATAGGTATGACAGGGTAAGATCCAAGTAAAGGATGATGCCGCTTTTGGCAGGTAGTGGCCATGACTAAGCAGAAACAAAGGCTGCTGAGAAGGTGTGACTGTTAGTGCTATTTAACAGAGATGACTGTGTATTAAAAATATATTTTGTAGTGTTAGAATGTTTTGGCTACAACCAGTTCACAAAAGTCAGTGTGGCTGTCTTTTCAAACGTCTTTGAACGTAACTGACTGACAGACCAATGCCATGTCCGTGTGAAATATATTCAAGATTACTCACCAATGACCTAAACAGACATTAGCGATGGTGGATTCCATGGATTAAAGTCGAGTCACGTCGCGTGGCTGCGTTCGTCCAGAAATTGAATGTCAGGAGTTTGTAGTTAAACTCACCCCTTATAAGGCTGAACTACCCCCTCTTTAACAATGTAAACGATTAGGCCTCTATTGACGTTAGTTTCCTCATATTTCTTTAGTCACTTAATGGTTCAGTTGTGCTGGTGTGGGTTTAGCGAACAATTTTAATGAGTATAAATTCAAATATTTGTAGAACAGATCTAATGTCCAATTGTCCTGGCCTTCTGTCTCCACTAATGCAAACGTCTACCTTGCTTCTAAATACACTAAATAAAAGACTACACCATGCCGCTCAGTCACGTGAAGAGCGATCGAAGTTATTTTTTTCACCTTCGAAGAAAGGAGAAGACAATGGTATTTAAAATTATAGCCCCTGTGCCTTTCGTTAATCCAAGCAAACCCACTGTCACAGCAGCATAATAATTAATTTTCAATTTAGACGTCAAAAATAGAGCATGTGATGCTTAAGAACTGTACATGTGTCAGTTTTTTGTGTTAATTTTGGGTCAGCCTCTAAAGAATCGATCAAACAAAATCTAAAATAAAATAAAATGTGCAGCAAACTTTCAACTTACTCATTAACATGCCGAATGAGCGGGGCAAAGTTGGGCGGAGCGGACCCACAGGTTTCACTAGCGATGCGACTGTAGGCTGAGAGAACACCGCCGACGCCTTTGCAGTTGGGATTTTGTGGGTCACCTGTCTGAAGAGTTTGTGAATTCGATTTAGAGTAGAAAAAAAACAGATATTAATGTGAAATTTAAGCCTGTTGACTTTACGAACCAAAAGATCAGTTGTTAATATGAAAACACGTTCTGACCAAGATGCAACGCAAATCACCTCAAGGCTTTTAGCGACCACACAGTGTGTAGATTGGTTTTTGTGGTCAAACGGTGGTGTTGAATCGCGTTCTCTTAAGATGCTTATTCTGGGCTCTTAATAAAGTTATTTGCAAAGAAACAATTGTCATCAAGGGAAATACTTGTGGCTTTAGAATTCAAAAGTATTAATTTCCTCGAGGTTCAACCAAATTAATTTTGTAATTGTTACGTTAAAGTTAAAACTGAAAATCTAACCAAAAAATTCAAAGGCGTTTTTGATGTTTGCTATCCCAAAAGGGAACATTTTCCAGGCAATTCTGATTCGTCGTTGAACGAACAATTTACATGGTGGACGACATTTGTTAGAGGTACGAAGTCAAAGTCTGGAAAACTAGTGGTTTCTTGCTAGGCTATAACGATTTTGTGATGGGCTAAGACGTTATACAAGCCAATATAGAGTAGAAACAGATGCGACAAAGGTTTGGTTTTATGATGTGCTCACGGTCCCCACGTAAATTTTTTTATGAAGCTAGTAGCTTGTATATTCTGTAACTACTAGATTAGAGTATAATTAATGCCCTGAGACTTGCCCATAATGGATTAACCATCTTACAATTTTTTGCCTTTTTACAAACTCAATAGGGGGAAATCGTTTTTCAGCATCTTTAAGACAAGATTACACTCAACAGACATTTTACATCTCTATATACTGGGCTCCTTAGGGCTATTTTTGTGACCAGAAGTATTTAAGCATGAAAAAGGATGAAGTTACATATTGTATATTTAACTTCTTCATCAAAGGTAAAATTGCTTGAGGTAACCGTAGGTGCAATCCACTATGGTTGTCTATAAACTGGTATTCTGTTGCCAAGAGTCACTACTTAAAATGCTACAACCCATCTTCTCTCAGTCCGTTGTTTAATTGCGTCCAAATACGCCGGAAATTAAAACTAAAAAATCGTATTTTAACTAGCAGCAAAACTGGGCGTTGTCTTCGTAAATTTCAAACTTGCAATAATTTGATAACCTTTTTATTGCTGCATTCTCGAGTCTTCAATTTCATGGTCATCTTGTTTAATATAACGGAAGGTATAAAAGGAATTCTCTTTTTCGACTTGCCTTTGTGTGTTTATTAGTAAAGTTAAAAACTTGAAACCGGTATGTACGTCTGTTGAAGCATAAATTTATACTCTTTATTTGCCGGTATTTTTATCACTAATAAACTGTCGAGATTTATGGCAAAAAGCTTATCACTAATCAGGTTCCGAAAATGATGCCAAAATTGGTCGAGGGTGACTAAGCTCTAAATCAACAAATCTGACCAAAAGAATAAATAAGCAAAGTTACCCAATTTTCATTAAGCGGTGCATTCTTCAAGCCAGTCCACTTAAATATCAATCAAATGCGTGCATCACAACCAACTTTATTTGCCTACCAATGGAAACAGGTGGGATTTTCTGCCATCTGAGCCGACGCGAGTACCAAATCCAAATGCCGGGAAAACTTCATCACTGAAATGAAAATGGGACTTGCCATAAGTTAAATCGGGTACTAATTAACTAACTTTTTCCTCTACTGACTTACAAATTTCTTGTTTGCAAATACCCTCCAAGTTATCGCGTTTTATAACTAGTTTTTTTCAGTAACCAAATTTGTATTTTGGTTATTTGTTTCAACACGGAAGTTCCGTGCCATGTAAATTTAATATACCTACTTTTCAGCTATCTGTGCAAAAAATAAATATAAATTGTTCTTTTGCAATGAGTCATTTACTAAATGTAAATATTTAAAATGGTTTTAAGAATGTGACTGATTAAATAAGACATGGTTTTACTAAACCACCATGCGGTTAATATATATATATATAGCATACTGAAAATTATTTGTAAATTTCACGCCACATTTATTGCTAACAAAACACAATCCCCTTCCACAAAAAAATTGTTCTATCGATCAACCCTTTTGTCTCACAAAAGGTGTAATCAAATGAAATAAATTAGTACTTTCATGTCCAAGACAATGAAAGAAGTAACAATCAACTGAGTACTTTAGCTTTATAATGGGTTGTGTCTAATTAAGAAATGAATAAATCAAATTTGCAGAAAGTCTTCTGTAATAGAAGCGTTTAATAGTGGAAATCCTTTTGATGAATTTTATCATGACTATGTAGAAACCTATGTCATCAATTATAAGCTGGAATTAGTTTAAATAGGGATGTTAAAATCCCGAAAATTTCATGCGCCTAGTCTGGTAGCTAAACTAATCAAACTTGTTTAGCTTTTTGAGGCAGCTTTAGACTAAGCTGCTGAACTTGCTTTCAGCTCAAGGAATTCGCCTTCTTATCTAACTGAACTATTCTGGTTTAACTGGAGCATGCAACTGCTGCCGAAAGTGAAAAAAATGCAGATAGATATTCTTTGCAATAAATGGTATTGCACAAAATGTGCAAGTACACTCACCTGTCGTATTCTTGAAGAATTTCCACAACTGCCTGAATTGCGATCGCATATTCACTGTTAACAGCCGCTGATTTCGCTATCGATATGGCTTCAGTGAAAAGCAGCGGTGCGTGGCTTGGAGGAACTTGAGAAGAGAGATCTATTCCCACAACTACATTTATGCTGGTCCTGCAAATAATGAGAATTTCACACGCGAGCAGAACGCAAGGACTTGCGTAGAAAACAAACAAGGACATCGGACAGGGAAAATCAAAGAGAAGGTTCTGCGCACTATCTGTAGCTTTGAAATATTATTTCATACAAAACAGTGATAATGTTATCGATACTGATGGCATTTTAAAAGCACTGATTATCAAAAATCGCTCTCTTTAGGCCAAATCTGACTTTCTAATTTACGAAACAGGAAATGTGGTAGCATCAATTTAGACTTGCTGGACTGGTAATCACTAAACCATGACTTTTTTACTAATGATTATTAAAATGATTAAAAGCTGCTATTTAGCGCACAATTTATGATTTCAAGAATGACTAGGTTTATAGCAATTTCAAAAATCATCAGTTCCCTGTGGAACTCTAAGGTGGGTGGAAGTCCCATCTGTTGACTTTTTTTTAATAATGGTCATCTTAGATAGAAATCAGACTTTATAATTTGGAGATCAGTAGGGATCTGCGAACTTCCTGCTTATTTCTCAAAACCCATCTTAAAAGTGCTCAGATGGATATTCACCAGAACAAGTGAATTCAGATGACAAGCAATCCACACCAGCAAAGTGTAGTCCTTGCCACAACTCATGTGTTGTGCAGAGTGATGTTAAGACAAATGTACCATCAAGGACAATATTTATATATGATATTACTTCAGATGTAATCAAATTGACCAGCTCACTGTCAAATCTTGAAGTGCTATTATTTAAGAAAAACACGGAAATCGATAGGACTGTTTGTGATTTTGATCATTGCTTCTGAGCCAATAGCCATAAAAATAAGAGTAGATATTACTTACCCACTCAGAATGTAGTCCAAGAATGAGCACGAGCTTGAAGATATGCTAACCTTAACATTCACCTATAATCAGAATGGATTTTTTTATTTGCAGCACCAATGTTAATTGTATGGCTGGCCCAAATGAAGCACCGAAAACGTGCAGCAAAACTTTTTATAGTTATAGTAAATTTGATTCCCTTTTATACCGAATAATTCAACCTGCCGCCAAAGTCGAAACATACATCAGTCTAATCTGCCTACTTAAATAAAATGCACGCAGTTTGGTAACTATTTATAGTCTTTACAAAGCTGATACAACAAGGCGTGGAATTATAAGAGTCATGTATCGTCTGGAGAAAACTAGTAGTCTAAATTAAGTGATGAGAATTGAGATCTTTTATTTACTCTTAATCCTGAAAATTAGCTGGTGAAATGGTGGAATTCAAACCTGTCCCTGTTACGTAGGCATCTAGCTAGAATACGCACACCAATTAATTTAGCCTTTTATGACGAGACTATTGCCCAAGGGAAATCGACTGGCCAAAACTGATTATAGTAGCGTTGTTGTAGGCACAAGTAACCTAATTATTCTGGTCACATGTAGATGGTTTTCTCTTCATTCTTTTATTGACAATACTCTTCATGTTAATATTACCCCCTACAACAGTAAGTATTCAAGTTTATAAAAGTGCAAAATTCCATGTAAAAGTTTTGCAAAATTTTATACTACAACTTACAATACCCGAGTTGTTATACACCTTTTTCCGTCGAATCTTTGAGCGGTTGATCAGCTGTGTGCATGAAAAGGGATTTCAGTAAAACTACGCTGTGAACACGTGCATTGGCAAAACAAAGTAGGTACCTCAAAGTTCCTTCCCTCAGTTGAGCATGTTAGGAGGTACCTTGCCGTTGTTATGAATTCACCAATGACATCACTGTATGGAGAAAAAGGAAATTTAAATTTACTTTACCTCTGAGTGGGATGAAATTGCGTTTAGGGAACTTACTCAATGTCAGGGTCCACCTCTTCGCTGTGAAAAAATGCGAAAACAGTAAGCATAATCGCAGTGTACTGAAAACTCAAATGTAGCAAAATTAACCGTTAACATTTAGTTACACAAAAAAGTAAAAAAAATTTTGCAAATGAGTAGATTAAAGGGTAAAAAACGAAAGAACAACAGTTACCATTTTATTTGCTTTTATGAAGGCAATTATCAGAGAAACGTTAAAGAACTCGTTAATCATAATATTAGGGGACAATATTTGTAATTTGAAGAAAATGCATGAATAGTAAGCTAAAAAAACAAACTACATGACTACAGCTAACAAACAGGACTGATAATTGCTTCCGATTCCCCCAAGAAGCCCACTCCCTAACCAGCTTCCACATTGTAAGTAAGATACAGAGGTTTAGATCCTACAATGTTTTCATTGTTTGCTTTATTGTCGTTGTATGATTGCTTTTGCCAAGGCCTACAACATGTTTTAGTCGACTGTTCAAGTTACCTTTAAGGAGTCCAAAAATACGTAAAAATGGAATGGAATGGAATCAAGAAGCTTTTGGTTTTTTTACAGCATTGGTTCCAAACGTCCCATGAAAAGTTACAATTGATTGTAAAAAAAATGACTTTATCTGTAACTGGAGCTGGTTTTACCGACCAGTAACAAGGCCAAAGTTTTAATGCATTATGTGTAATGCTTCAGAAGACAACCAGTTGGACTTTGGTCCACTAACACAGCAGCTACCGTGGCAAATTGAGAAATGCGACACCTGCCTTAACAAACCCAAGCATTATAAAGGCAGTGTTTAAATAATATATTTATCTGCTAATTCAAAGTGGCGTACCCTTCACCTTTTGCTCCATCCCAGTCAAAACAGCGAAAGCAGATTTCACTGTAATAGGAAAATTGGAAGGTGAGAAGAACCTTGGATGCTCAGTGGGAATGCCTCACCACGAAATTCTAGTCTGCTAATATTCCGAGAATTTGAAATGTATCTAAACAGTCCTTGTCAAAGATGCCCTCGATAGATACTGAAAACCTCCATTTCTCTGTAATTTACTGAGGCCGGTGAGTATTGAATAGTTGTCGCGCACAGGTATTGCTACCGAATCTGTGCAAAGCATATTATGTAAAATCCTACTTTCATAATACAAAAACAAGTGAAAAAAATCTGATTATTAAAATTAGTCTTGCTATTTAGTTAAAAAAAAGGTAGAGAGACCTCTAACCTGTCGAGGTTTCCTTCGCATAATTTGTCCAAGGAAACAAGTAGTGGTTTCCAATCAGGTGCTAATGTTTTTCTCACGACCTCGCTGTGGTAACACCGTTCCCACCTAAGCGTTAAAAACACAGGAAATACAGAAGAATAGGTGGTGAAAAGCCACAACACTAGCAAAACCTATGCAAAATAACTTCCTAATTGTTTCAATGTATCCACTTCCTGGAACTAAATGTGGTTTTAAATACCTACCGATTTCTACAAACAATAGTAAAATATTTTTTTTGTTATTTATGAGATCGTTATACTAGTGATAGCAATGCATAAAATAATAACAAAACGTACTTTCCACGGTCGTTTCGCTTTAGTATAATAATGTATGGATCCGACTTTCCAAACATGTCTTTCTTGTCGAGTCCTGCGCCCTGCATTTTTAGAACAATATTATCCTGGAAAGATAAACACAATATCTGTTTATATAAGCAAGTTTATTGAATGAAATTTATTTTTAATACTTCTGATAGGTGTGATATGTGTACTTATGCCAAAGTTATATGAATAGCAAGAAAATTATCAATGCAATGATTTTGTCTTGACATTTTTATTTGGTCACTGTTCAGCAGGAAATCTACTCATCCTAATTCAGAGGTCTGCTCTGGCTTCTACACTGGCGCGACAGCAACGCAAATAACTTTTTTACCCAAATACACATTCTCAAGCTATTTTCGCCCTGCGTATTCAAATAATTTCTTCTGTGCTATGTTAGGTGGCGTGATTCACTGTGATTGAATTGAGACAATTCCACTCACTTTTGTCGAAGGTTCCTCCCGAGTACACACTAAATAGTAGATATGAAAATAAATATATGTAGACCATGAAAGTGGCTGCTAATTTCGGGTCTAATACAAATGCTGTGAATTTAGGTGATTCTTCACTCAAATGCCCACTGGTCTGACTGAGATAATAAAGTCCTTCAGCTAATCCTTTTCTTTATGTTTATCGGCCTTATATTGAAGGGCGACATTTAATTTGTTTGTTTTAATTAGACGACAATCAAATCCAGTGCTTTTTTGTTCATTATAAGGAGTTTCCTTTCAAATTAATGGCACTCAGGCATTCTCACGTTCCCAAGGTGCAGTCTAATTAATCAGATGTTTGACACACGAGCTTCACGAAGGGTTTATGAAATAAATAATATTAGAAATGGAATATTTAAATCAATTTATTAAGCTATTTAATTAAAGTTTTGACTTAAAAGACAATTCAAATGGAAACCATAATGGTTTCTTTTTCTCTCGAAACTGAAATAAACTGAAAAAATGTTCTGTGAATACGAAAACAGTTGTGCTGACATCCTACCCTAACAGTGCTAGACATTCGTTTTCACTTTAATAAAGCAACATCCAATTCGTGGTGAAAATCACTTAGGCATTTAGCCCAGCTAGAAGAAAATTAAAACAAGGTAGGCGTAAGATTTGAAATAATTTGACTATTTATCTTCGAGACTAAAGATTTAGGACAAAACGACGGTTTTAAAACATGCTATATGATAATTTTTCTCGTAGAGTTCACTATGCTGACTCTCATGTATCGTGACCAAGGACCATAATCCACACTAACAAATGGCAGCCTTCAAAGTTGTACTTTCCTTCTTACTTCTTAAAATACGCATTTTCCAAAGAACTGAATGCATAACGATAGATCCGATCTGAATCCTGATAACTTTACAGGAATTTTTCTCGTTTATATCATGTTTAAGACCCAGAAGTCATTTTTTCAAGAGATCAATTTTCCGATTTATGTAAGAGGGAATGTCTAGATCATTGTGGCTGAGGAACATTGCTTCGTTACCTAAATTTACCTTTTAGGCTCTAATTTTTCCTACTCAAAATTTCAAACTAAGGGCCAGCTGAATGTGCATTTTCCGTAATTTGAGTTGCTGCATCTAGGTAAAATAACATTTGAAAGGTCAAATGGTTAATTAGGTAGATTAAGCAAAAGTAGAATATTTCCATAAAACAATATCAAACGTACATATAACAGAACCGTTGTACACGTCTTCACTCTGTGAATCTTGTCGGGCTGCCCTAAAATATGGACAGAAATATTTGAATTTCTTACTCGAGAAATGAAGTCTACAAGTTTGGTTTCCTATTCTGTTGAATCCATACATGCAACCTCTGGTTATTCAGCAATTAATACATAAATAATTTGCAACTTCTGCCACCAAATGAAAATGCATATGGTCAAAATTTCTTCGATTATCTAAAGTTGAATTTCAGCAGCTCTCAATAACAAATAAACTTGTGTATTTGCATACGCATTCATGAGTAGAATTCTCTTTGGCATAATGGAGACAGAATCGGAACGTTGTCTTTAACAAAAAGCAAAATGAGAAAATGTTGGCATCACTTAGGTTTGAGTGGGGGCTAGGCAGGCAAAACGCACTCATTTTGTGATAGGTGCCAGCAAAGTCGAAAAAAATGACTAATTGCTACATAAATCGCGTTTCCAGTTACTGAACTGTACGGAAATTAAGCATTGGGATAAGATCATTTATTGCACGAGCAAAGGCCAACTAACAATATAATGCGAAAATATCGTTTTACCTAAATAAAATTAGACCGATACCATTGTCTACATTTGCAGGAGCCTGAATAAGCCACAACCCTAATTAATTTTAATGCCTAACATTCTTTTTTTATTTACCAAACAGGTGCACACCAAATTTGCAGCCGTTGCTCTTCCTGTGGCTGCAGCAAAAATTTTAGAAGGCTGACGCTATTACTAAAGAAAGATGGTACCGATCATTTGAATTGCCAGAATTTGTGACCATGATACATTGATATAGTCACCTCTGTCATTTAAAATACAAGTAATGTGTTTCAAATGCTTTTAAAAAAATGACCTTCGGCGAAAAATATAAAATAGTCTATGGTTAATGCACCATTGCTTTGTAATACGATAAAAAATTTGCGGGTAAATGTAAGCACAAAACGACGGACACTGAATGAAACTCAAAGGATTCTTAAATTACCAAAAGCCAAGTTTTCGTGAATAATTGGTCAGTTATTTTGGCTTCACTAAAGTTAAATGGCACTGTATTCATTTTACAAAACAGAAACATGTAAAACTTTTTGTACCTTAATAGAACCTCTTCCTCACCACCACTGTGAATTGTCCGACCAACAGAAATTTCAGTGCTGCCAAGTAGAGAGGGATCCTGCAGGAATAAGTGAAATTTCAGTGGTGCCTTCTGCAATCTCGTGAGTAAAACTAGCAGTTTAACACATGCAATCCAGAAATTTCTATTCTTTTTCTTAAATTCTGTTCCAAATTTCTTGGAGAGGTTCTGATAGGGTAACCTGCTAACTGAATTGACATATTCATCGAAGTACATAATCCTGACACCGATGAAATAACTCGTTTAACCTTATTCTGTAAAATCTGTTATAGAGGGTAGTTCAGTGTTTGGGAAAGTGTGGTTTGAAGATGTCAGTCACTCTAAAATCACTGAAGTAATTGCAGCACTTCACTAAGTTGAAGCATATTATAAGTGTAGATATGAATTAATTTCTTCGACTCTTCTACAGTGGGTTTCTAAAATGGGTGGTAGTTTTGCCCCCTTGCGAGACTTTAACTACATCACTCTGCATTTAAGTCCTCTTCACACACACAAGGGATACAACTCTCTTCCACTAAGATGCAGCGAAAATGAGCCGTGTGACGTTCGGAAAAGGTGCTTGATCTTCACTTCAATAATAGTTATAAACCATCTGTGGTTATGCGTCAGGAAAATAACCGAATGCACATAATCTGTTGCATTCAGTTTATAAATA